GTGGGTCCTTCTAGTTGTGGCATGTAGGACGCTGCCTCAGTGTGGCCTGACGAGCAGTGTCATCTCCGCGCCCAGGATCCAAACTGGCGAAGCCCCAGCCGCCAAAGCAGACCGCCGGAACTTAACCACTCGGCCACGGGGCCGGCCCAACACTCCTAGTTTTAAAAGAATAACCATAACTGACATTTTGTACCTGCCAAATGCCAAACACCATGGTAAATACTTCATATCCGTTAATTCATTTATCCCACCTTTCCTTCCCTTCCCTTAGCTTTTATATGTGGCTGTTCACTCTGCCAGGGACGTGGCCCTTCTGGTAAACAGCAAAGTCCTCCCCGTGCTGGCATCCTCAAACACCTTTTAGTGATAGAGTCTAGTCTCCAGCCATCTTGAATTTGCTGTTCCCTAGCATTTGCATTCAAGCAATTCAGTTCATCTTTGTAATTCAATCAGTGTTTCCTATTCTGTCTTGGTAACCAGTTACCCACAGGCATCTGTATTTCACTGGCAGATCCAAAGCCAAAAAGTCCTAGCCCTGAGACTGCTTCCCCCGTCCAGGGTTCACAGCTGAAATTCCTCCATTTCCCAAAGAATTAGTGAAATACTGCAACTTTCTAAACATGTTAGTATCTCCTTTACAAGTCTACATCTCTAAGGAGCTGCATTAGCTTTTAGTTAAGAAATCACACTTCAAGGCTCTTGATCACACTGCCAGGCTCTTCATGTCTTCCCTGCATAGTCCCGTTATTTTTAAGGTACTCAGATGTTTACTAAATGAGTAAATTATTTATTCTAAAAGCATTCATCATCCATCCATCAAGCAGATACCTTCAAATTCTGCAAGACTGACTTTAATTTCTGTACTTTTTCCTAACCTCCCTTCACATCTAGTACCTGCTAACTAATCTCATCACCTCTGTTCTCCTACCCCTCCCACCCAGCCTTCATAAAGCAGCTGGTGTTGGCTTTCTCATATATGTGCGATCCTGTCATTTCTCTGTTTATAAACCCATTAATATTTCCCAATCACTTCCAGAATTAAATCTCCTTCATAAGAAGACTCATACCTATGCTATTCTACTGGATTACTTTACATGTCCTTTGCTACATGATAACATGCTACCATCCTTTATTTCTAAAGGCAAATTTAATACCATCCCGGGCATCTAAGATTCTAGGCCAAACATGAGGGCCCTTGTTTTAAAGAGTCCAAATCTTGTAATCATAAGAGGTATAGTACAATTCTGAGTCCTCTTCTAAATGGCCACTGATCCAGACAACTTCAGGAGTTCCACCTACGTGAATATAAACCAAGTTATAAGTGAAATTCTACCATTCTTCCTTTTCTTCTAGGAGCCAAACAAAACTACATGCTCCCCAACTAAATGCTGTTGAAAAGGATGAAGCTAACTAATGGATGCTGTAGTACATTTCTGTCCCTTCCTTAGGAGGCCCTGGAGTATTGACAATTCAGTCATTTTGGCATCTTTAATAACCCTGAATTTGATCCTCACATGAAAACGACATTTTTTAGGACATAGCAAAATAACAAATTAGGTTTAAGATTTAGAGTGCTTTGGTTTATGAAATCTACCACAGTGTAGCAGGATTGAGGGAAATATCTTGCTCTTTGCTTTCTGGCTTAGGCTCTGACAGAGAACCATTTCAGACCAGTAGGAGTCAAGGGAGACAATGCTGCCCTATCCTGCCCTCCCGTGTAGGAACTGCTCAGTCCTCTGGCCCTTCTTACATACTGTCCTTTTCTCTCTTACACACATAGGTAAACGTGGATTATTATTTTGCATTAGTTATTTTGTCTCTCCAAATAATTTCTTTTGGGAAGCCAGATAAGCTTTACTTAGGGGCTTTCTCAACTTTTTTTTTCTTGAATTCTCTTACCCCTCAAAGTGAATATTTTTCTTTTTTTTTTTTTTTTGAGGAAGATTAGCCCTGAGCTAACATCTGCTGCCAATCCTCCTCTTTTTGCTGAGGAAGATTGGCCCTGAGCTAACATCCATGCCCATCTGCCTCCACTTTATATGTGGGACGCCTACCACAGCATGGCTTGCCAAGCAGTGCCATGTCCGCACCCGGGATCCGAACTGGCGAACCGCAGGCCGCTGAAGCGGAACGTGTACACTTAACCCCTGCGCCACCAGACCGGCCCCTCAAAGTGATTATTTTTCTACCATTTCTGTTTGGATCCAAACCTATGTAGCAATTTCAGAAGCTGCTTGAGAATAGCAAGAGATAAATGTTTATTTTTCTGAACCATATCTTGTTTTCTAGGAATTTTTCTGGCCTTGCAGCAAGTTTATTATTGACTAAGTCATATTTTTAGATTATAGCAAGATCTTAGTATTAAAACCAAGGTTATAACTATGGTAACAAACCAATAGCTTCTTTTTAATTTATTTTTTTCTTCAAAAACCCTTGCATTCTTGTTTGGACAGTCCTGGCCGCATTGATGCTTTCTCTTAGAAACATCCTCTCACCTTGGGAAAGGAGGCTGATGGATTCTGACCGAGGCGAGTGGGCTCACCTGCTGTGTGGCACGTGGGGTGATGCCACTGGAGTGGCTTGTGCTGTCATTGTTATAGTTGGCATCATCATCATCCGTGCCATCCCTGGGCCTACAATCTCATGGTCGGGAGAAGAAGCTTGGCTTTCTCAGCTAAGGATCAATAATAGCAATTCCTTAGAGAGGAGGAAAGGCTGTCTTATTGAATGATCTCCAGCAGTGATCTCATTCTGAACTCAGGGACAAGCCTGATGAGAACAGAGGTCGCCATCTTCTTGACTGAGCTTCAGATCAGGCGGGGCACTTACGATAATAGTGACAATGGAGGGGCCTAGACTCACTAGTATTTGATTATTATTGCAGATTTAGTAATTCAACAGAGATTTGAACATCATTCTTAAGTAAATACTACCATTTCTAGCACTGGATAGATGACTTTGAGGTTTATTTGCCCTATTTTTGTCTTGTTGTCTAAAAGTTGCTTAAAACATGCACATGCCACATGCATTGCCTGCCTTTGTTGACTACATCATGTGTCTGTCACCATCACCACAGAGGAATAATACATCTTCCTCTGGCACATAGATTGTTCTATATGGGAAATCCTAGTGTAAGTGCTTGCAAAAAGGCAAGGACAGGGATGGGAAATATAAAGGATGTGTTAAGAGCTACAATAGGTCAGGAGTCTTTGGGCATCCAGGATGTGGTATTGGGTTTCTTTTTCTTCCTTACTGCAGTACAGAGCTAAGGAATAAACTGCATATGTGCAAGTAGGTGCACATTTGTGGTGGCGTATACTGACTGATAAAGGTAGAGAAGATGCCAGCTTCAACAGAGTTTAGCTGGAACAAAGATTTTTGTTTTGAAGTTTGCTAAAGGTCAGAGTCATAAAATAGAAGAGGCACATTTCCCATTAAGATTCTTTGGGGGTGGGGCTGGCCCCGTGACCGCTCTGCTGCAGGCAGCCCAGTGTTTCGTTGGTTCAAATCCTGGGCGCGGACGTGGCACTGCTCATCAAGCCATACTGAGGCAGTGTCCCACATGCCACAACTAGAAGGACCCACAACGAAGAATATACAACTACGTACTGGGGGACTTTGGGGAGAAAAAGGAAAAAAATGTTTGGGGCAAGATTTCCTCACTTTGATGTTTCTCTTTTTTTCTTCTGTTTCTACTTCAATCCATCACCGCCACCACCAAAAAGAGAGAAAGAGAGAAAAAAACCTGGAGATGAACTAGCATTTTAGAGAGAAGTAATTCCAAATAGATTTATACTATAAAGTGCTTTAAGCCAAGGGTGAACTGGAATATGAGTGTGATTTAATAAAATATCCTATATTATAGATGATTATGCAAATGTAGAATATTATGAACCAAATATAAATGTAAACACCGAAAGCCTGATTAGAGCTTAAGGATATAAAACATGCCATGAAGGAATGGATCCTTGTTCCAGCCAACCTGGTGTTTTGTCTCTAACAGGAGTACCTAAAAAATATAGTGGAGTCTGGTTACCTGTCCTGGTATCAGTAGTGAAAGAAGAGAGATGTTTCACCGCAAATCCTGGATTTTCTTGACCATAATGTATCATTCATTCATTTAAACTTTTAAAAACTTGCAAATAACTTCTGACTAAACCCCTATCCGAATGGTAACAAATTTCGTTTTTTCCACTTGACGTGGTAATTAGTATTTCATTTTATTTCTTTAAGTTTACAATAATCTTCAAGCTCCTGCAGGTATTTTGCAGTTCCCATATTCTACAGTTTTGTGAATAATCTATGTTCAGCTTACTTATACCTTCATGATTTGATACATTTTTATTATTTCCTCTTCATTATTTTTGAATGGAACCTAGATTTTATTAATCTTGTCTCAGTGCACAGTTTACTTAAGAGGCATACATTAATCATGTTCTCCAGCATTTGTATGATAAAAACCTTCCGCTATAGAGCCAGCCCTGATGGCCCAGCGGTTAAAGTTCAGCACGCTCTGCTTCAGCAAACTGGATTCGGTTCCCCAGTGCAGAACCACACCACTCATCTGTCAGTGCCGTGCTGAGGTGGCAGCTCACACAGAAGAGCCAGAAGAACTTACAACTATACACAACTTTGTACTGAAGCTTTGGCGGGAGTGGAGTGGGGGGGTGGGGGGTGCGGGGGAGGAAGACTGACGACAGATGTTAGCTTAGGGCGAATCACCCCCTGAAAAGAAAATAAAAGCATTCCACTATAACAAAGTACCTTTTTTCGAAACTGTTAACAAGCTTTCTTTGGCCTCTTATTATTCTTGAAAAATAGGTAGAACAGTTAGATATTTTCTTACTCTTTCCTTTAGGGTTTTTTCCTTAACTATCCTATTGAGTTTATTACTGTTAAAGTGTGGAATCATTCTTTCCAAGAAGCCAGGGTCTTCCTCACTCTCCAGCATCTATATAATATAATCCTTCTGACTTTCTGTTCCTCATGTCTCCCTACAGCCATATGTGTCATTGTCTCAGCAGATGGCACCACCGAGTCCAAGCAGCAGTACCCCTAACAGCAGCAGTGGGAGCAATGGAAATGACCAGCTGAGCAAAACCAACCTGTACATCCGGGGGTTGCAGCCAGGCACTACTGACCAGGACCTCGTCAAGTTGTGTCAGTCGTAAGTTGGGGTGCATGTGGGTAGGCTTCCAGGGACAGTACAAATTTGGTGATACTGGCTTCTTGCCAGATACTTTTATCCTGAAATGCAATATTATTTTGCTTCTACCCCATAATCACAAGGTTTCTCAGCACCCCCTCTTAAAGACATTCTGCCTGTTACTGTTATCTAAAACCTTTATGTCTTTCTCTGGGGAAAGCCAGGTTAGGACTGGTCTTTGAAGCTTAGTATATGACTTTGTTTCCGGCATGTACCCAGAACTGATGGTCTTAGTGGAAAGATTCCTATCCTTATGCTTGGAATAGAAATGCACAATTTCTCTAAAGATATTGATTAGAAGGCAGTGAGAACTGGAAGTGGGACTAGCCAATTGAATTATACTCTTAAGAGAGTTCCTGCTGCTAGAGATATTCCCAGTGAACCAGAGGAGCCCTCGAATTAGTGGATAAAGAAGGTGGAGAAAGAGCCTGTCACTCTGCATGTACCCCCTAAAGACCTGTGGGGTTCTTCAGAGTAGATTCGAGTCATGAGGTAGAGATAACTACCGTGGAATTAGCCCCGTTAGGAATGCTGGGGGAAAAAAGAGATGCCAGCTCAATTCCATTTGGCAGAAAAATATGTGTTTCAAATAATATATTTGGAGGAATGATTAGAGCAAGAAGTCTGGGGGTGGGATGGGGACATTAATGGAAGGAGGAAAAGTGAGTTTGGGAAAGTGAATGGTAGAATGAGATAGAAATAGGAACCTTAGGCTGTGTAAACTTACCATCTTTTAAAATTTTTTATTGAAGTATGACAAGCATATAGAAAAGTACACAAATCCTAAGTGTACATACAACAGTGAATTTTCACAAGGTGAACGCACCCTTGTAAGCACATTAAGAAATAGAACATTACCAACTTTTCAGAAGCCCACCTCTCAGTTACTGTCTCCCCCTTCCCCACAAAGGTATCTTCTGTTTGGCTTCTGAGTAATTGATTGGCTTGTTTGAACTTCATATAAATATAATTATGTAGCACATACACTTTTATGTCTGCTCAATGTCGTTGGTGAGATTCGTCCACATTCGTCCACACTGTTGCATGTATACAGCAAAACTTCGTTCATTCTTATTGCTCTTTAGAATTCCATCACAGGAAGATACCACAATTTATTTGCCTGTTCACCTGTTGTTGGACATGTGGGTTGTTTCCAGTTTGTGACTATTACATAGAGTGCTGCTGTGAACTTGGATGTGGCTTGGTGTATGTGTGTACACATTTATGTTGAGTATATATACCTAGGAGTAAAGTTGCTGAGTCATAGGATATATATTTGTTCAGCTTTTGTAGATACTACTAAACAATTTTCTGAAGTGGTTAAACTAATTCAAACTCCCACGACAGTGTGTGTAAGTCCCAGCTGTTTCAAGTCCTGGAGAGGCAGAACTGTTCGCCCCAACATGCAGTTGTATGGCGGCATCGTAAGGGCCCCACAAAGCCCTTGCTCTTCTGAGGCCGTGGTTTGGTCCACGCACATCATGGATTTTGGCTAGAACAAGGCTGTACAAACTTGATCTTTGAAGGCTAGGTGTGTACAAAACTGGTTCCTTTGCTTCAACTTCCCTTGCTAGAAAGGTATTTACGTGGAGTTTAGGGGACTTAGTCGAGGACTAGTAATTTTTGGGGGGAATGGGAATTGGCAGAAAGGTTGATTTATAAGGGAAAAGAGTATTTATCAGTCTAGCTCCTTGATTTTTGCACCCTCTGTTTCTTGTACTAATTATAATGTGCTACAAAAAATCTTCTCACTGCGCAAAACAGAGAAGAAACTCAGTTTTACTTCACTATACTTTTAGACTTTACATTTTGCCCTTCCCAACAGTTGCCCTACCTTCTGCTGTGTCTGAAGGGATGAGAATAGTCAGGGTCAGCATGTAGGATGGACCTAAGGAGCCCAGTAGGGTACCGTGGAGAAGTAGGAAGGAGGCAGAGGAGAATAGGTGCTGCGTGAGTCATGACGAAACGGAGGCTGAGGAGCACAGGTGGGTGGAACACTGGTGGGTGCTGTGAGCTGGGAGTTAAACCTTTCTAGGAGGGGTGTTTCCCATGCATAGAAGGACTTCCTGCCTTTGTCCCAGTTGTCTCTCTGGGTTGTAGGGGAAGTAAGCGTTGCTGGATCCTAAGCCTGGTGGGCAGGAAGGAGAGGCGTGCCGTCTGGGACTGGAACTCCTGGTTCTCTTGGAGGGGCTCCTTCTTCCGAGGAGGAAGGAGCAGGAGCGACCCAGCTGTTGCCAGCTGCAGTGGAAATTCTGAGCTCAAAGTCTCAGGCTGCTCAGACCACAGCAGGCTCCACCCTGGGGCCTTGATAGGGATAGCAGCATGTGTGTCCTCTGGCCTGCGGTCCCATGCATCCCTTTCCTTACCTAAATTTGGGAAAGAATCCAAGTCTTTAGCCCCGAAAGGCTAGGATCGCCACATCCAACCTCACCCCCATTTTAGTATGTTCTTTTCCCAGCCTCCAGGGTGTTGCTTGGCTTATTCTGTCTAATCCAGTGGGTCACAGAAGAAAAAAATCAGTGAGAGGCCGCCAAGGAGTGAAATAAATGCCTCAGTCATCATATGTTCTTTAGGGATGAGAGGAGAGGTAGGAAAAAGTGCTTGTTCAGGATATTGGTCTCAAATTGAGTCCCTGCCAACTATTTCCAATTAAATCTTGCACTTCTGACTCTGTTAGTGATTTCTGTTCTGTCTCTTAATGTCTTCACCCTCCCGGCGTGGGACGTAGAGACTTCTTTCTAGTGGAATACTTCTGGTCTAATCCCTGACCTGTGATGCTCGTCTGCTGCACTTTGAGGAAATCCACACAACTCTGCTGCCAAAGCATAATTTTCAAAAAGTTGAAGAAGGTGACTCTCATACAAATATAGGTGAACACATGCCAAAGATTTCTTTTACTCGTTAATGAGGGAACCAGCAGGATGGTAAAATGCATTCAAAGAGCATGTGAGGGACTGAGTATTTATAGGTCCCGAAGAAAGAATGTTGGGATAAGATTGCTAGGTTACGTACAAAGCTGGTTCGCATCCTGCAGGACAATAAAATAGCAACCTTTGGGGTTATCTTTTCTGTTGGACAGAAATTATTTGCATTTCTACTGGATGAAAATTTACAAGTTAGTATGTATCTTCACAAAGTCAGGGCACTAATCTGTAGTAAACAGTAAGTCAACAAAGAAACATCCCCCGATAATGAAATATACCTTGCATGAGCCTTTGAGACAATGTTCCAGAATGGCATCAAAAGGGTATGCAGTCCTCATTTTGCCTTATCCTCAAGTTTTGGATAGTTTTCACAGCACTGCTGTTGCGCCTGGTCTTATGCCTACTCCCCTCCCTAACACACTCCCAAATCTTGACGATGAGAAATACAAGTCTTAGAATACAGTAAAGCAGGAGGGCGGGCCATTCGCAGCAGTTTAAAGTTGAGGTCCTTTGAACATAATAATAATAATAGCAGTTGAGAATTTTCACGTGTTTACCATGTGGTAGACGTTAGTGCTTTATAGTCATGAACTCATTTCATATTCCCAGAAATTCTATCTTCATTTTACGGATGGTAAGATGGGCACGGAAAGGTTAAATGACTTGTCCAAGATCACACATAGCTGTAGAGTGGCAGAACCAGGATTTGAACAAAAGCAATTTGGCTTCAATGAGGGGGCCAGTAGAGGGGTAGGGAATGGGGTGTCAGAAAAGAGAGATGTCTATAGATTTTTCATAAGAGGAATGGTGTTTGTCCCAAGGAAGATAAGTAATATCAAGGATTATTTTTAGTCCTCAAAGAATTCCAGCCAGAGCTCTGCCCTTACACGCTCTGCTATGAGGACATCGCCAGGCTTCTTTCCCAAAAAGACAGTAGTCTCTTTCCAGCTGGTATCTGAGTCTTAGTTGGGAAAGAAGAGTGAAATGTGTTGGTATTGTAAGGCCCACAGTTACCTTATTTCTTGTAGGCACCTTTAGGGAATAAGTATATATGATGAGTGTGACATTTTAAAATCATTTCTTCTTTGTTTTCATTAAAGTTTGAGTAGGGACAGTTGTCTTAGTGGGAGTACAGAAAGGGCATGGATTCATCCAGCTGTTTCAATCTCTGTGCTGTTCTAAATACCTTCCCCCAGATTATCACTTTGCATTTTCTTCTCCCTTAGATATGGCAAGATTGTCTCCACTAAGGCCATACTAGACAAGACCACAAACAAGTGCAAAGGTGAGAGAACAGCTGTCCTTGGAGGTGGAGCAGCTGTGAATGAGGCCATCGCTTGGCTCTGCTCTTTACTGCCGAGAGTCCCTAGTACCCAGTGCCAGGGAGGAGTCTCTCTAAGGTCTTCAGGCTTAAAAGACTGAGATATTTAGATTTTTGGGTGACCAGGTAGCTAGAGCTGAAAGTGCTCTTTTGGGGACCCAAGGTTAGAAGCTGGCACAGAGTGCCTTTGAGTCTCCTGGGCTTACTTTGGACCTCTTGTTTCCCTGGATTGAATGGTGGATATGGGTAGGTGAGATTATTTCTAGCAAAGCATCGTAAATACCTTTTGGTGTGTTCGGGGGGTGACATGGTAGATATATTTTGTGAGGATGAGTCTTTGTTGGGGTTTTGAGCAGTTGTAGATGGGGATGGAAGAGTGGAAGGAGGGAAAGGGCTGTCGGCTGGGGTGGGGAGAGGCTTCTTCTGGCAGGTGGCTGGTTATCTGCAGTGAAGAGACTGTTTTCCCTACATGCCTAGCATTTCCAGGGTGTGGCTCGGAAAGAGAAGGGGGTTCTTTCAGAAGTGAAGGGGGACTGTGGATTGTTAAAAGAGCCTAGTTCCCAAAACATCAGATTTCTTAAGGGGAGGGAGAAGGGCAAGGACACCACAAGGACCTCATTGCCCTTGGCATTCTCAGCTGTAAAGCAGGCCCAATCTCCCAGGGTTCAAAGAGCACAGGGATAGCTACCTGAAACGTCTTAATTGCTCTTTCTCCCTCCCACTTGTGTTACATGGATCATAACGCTTCCTCTGTCTCCTAAAAAGCCTGGGTCTCCTACATCCCTGATGCCCCCCTACCTCCCAGTGATGCTGTTTCCCCGTTCCAGGCTATGGCTTTGTGGACTTTGACAGTCCTTCAGCAGCCCAGAAGGCTGTGACAGCACTGAAAGCCAACGGTGTGCAGGCACAGATGGCAAAGGTAAGGGTACTGCCCCGTGTCTGTTTCTCTGAGAGGTGTGGTCACCACCAAAGGTTCAGTTCCGAGGCTCCAGAGGGTTGAAGAAGCACGCAGTTGATGGAAGACCTGTCTGCAGTGCTTTTTGACTATATCTGGCCAAACACAGTCCTGGCTAGGGTCCCACTGAGCACTCTTGGCTGCTAGAGGAAGATGGTGTTCAGATCTGTGGCAGGTAGCTCTGTCGGCTCTGTTCCTCTCATCAAGTGTTATAAGCAGGCGAGAGGGTCAAAAGGCCTCTTCCCTTCCTCCTGCTGTTTCCTCATCTCCACTCTGGCCCCACTTCCCTACCAGACAGCTTGGGGTAGTTTTGCAACATTCTCTGATGAAGCCAGTTGTGCAACTCAGAATTTCAGAACAATGCTCTCCACCTCCCAAAACTGTTCCCTGTGTGTGGGGTGTTGGGGAAAGGGAGGCCACAGTAAGGAAGGAGGCTGTCCCTCCTTCTCAGATCTGTCTCCAGCTTTGTTTTCATCTGGACTGCTAGAGAACTAGAGGCTCTTCTCTCCCCTCTTTGCTTGGGTGGGATTGCCCCTTTGCCTCTCTGAAATCGTTGTGAATACGCTATGTGGAGCCAATGGGGCAGGCTTGCCAGCTACCCTCTTCTGTAATGGTTAAAGAAAAAGGAAACCCTGAAGGGAAAGGCAGAAGAGGGACTGAGGTTGCTGGTGACCCACTGTCTAGGACAGAGTGACTGCTTAAGTTCTTAAAAATACAGCTATGGAGGGGCTGGCCCAGTGGTGCAGTGGTTAGGTTCTCACATTCCACTTCGGTGGCCTGGGGTTCGCTGGTTTGGATCCCAGGTGCAGACCAATGTACCACTTGTTAAGCCATGCTGTGGCAGGCGTCCCACATATAAAGCAGAGGAAGATGGGCATGGATATTGGCTCAGGGCCAGTCTTCCTAAGCAAAAAAAGAGGAGGATTGGCAGCAGATGTTAGCTCAGGGCTAGTCTTCCTCAAAAAAAAAAAAAAAACAACACAGCTATGGGAAGTTACTGTCATTTTACATGTTCTGCCCACTGGAAGGGCTCTTCCACCTCTTCTTTCTGGAGAAAAGTCCTCTGACAGTGGAGTGTAGGGTTCCTGTGAGACTGGAGTTTTCAGGGCTCCATGGTGACCCAGTGAGCTATACATCTGGCCCTTAGTGCAGCCCCCAGCACATTGCCTTCCCTTTCCCCTTGTCCCCTCTTCCTGCTTTCCCTCCACTGGAGAGTGAACAGCATTCCTACTCAGAGGAGTCTGCTGTGGCCGGAAGAGGGGGGAGGGGGGATTACTCAAAACAATCCAGCCAGGAGCAAGGCGGTCCAAGAGAATCCAGCCCTGGGACAGGCTGTTGGCGGGTGGAGGGGGAGTGCTGCTCTGCCTGTTCTTAAAGAGACAGCCAAAACTTCATCAGTGACTTGTATTAGGGGCTTGGACAGTACTAGAAATATTATATATGCTTTTTTTTTTTGCCTGGATATACAATCCATGGTAGTGGGACTCTAGGTGTTACAAAATAGTTGTTAAGGTTCCCTTTGTTTATGTGGGACCCTTCGTACTGTCTCTGTTCTAAGATGTCATTTTGTGGATAAGGGCTGAGGGTGGGAGAGGAATAAGAGATGTGAGCTTTATCTTCTCACTTTTATTTCCATAGCAACAGGAGCAGGACCCCACAAATTTATACATATCAAACCTCCCACTGTCAATGGATGAGCAAGAACTGGAGGGGATGCTAAAGCCCTTTGGCCAGGTTATCTCCACTCGAATCCTTCGAGACACCAGTGGGACCAGCAGAGGGGTTGGCTTTGCAAGGTGAGAGATGCCAAGAATGGGAAATGATGAGGTTAATAAAGAGTGTCACTTAGGTTACAAAAAAATCTGTGCCCCCTCTCCCAGAGGACCAAACTGTTGGCCAAAAGTACTTGACAGTAAATAAAAATTTCATTTAATGATAGGTCATAATACTCACAAACCCATTTCCCGCCAGTTCTTTATCCTTTCCCCACTGCTTCCTGCTGCTCTAGCTTTGTCCCTTTGATCCAGACCCAACCAGAAGAAAATAATTCCGTATCTTCTTCTAGTTTACCGAGTGGTTTCTCATCCTGTTATTTCACTTAGTCTTTATAGCAACCCCATGAAATAAGTATTAGTTCTCCATTTTATAGATAAGGAAAGCACAATCTCCGGTATGAGGGGATTTGCCCAGGTCTCACAGGCGTGGGTGGTGGGGCACAGCCCTCATCCTTCTGGCGTCAAGATCAGTAGGACGAAGAGGAAGATTTGGTCTACCTTTTCAGATCTTTCGAGAGACTTGGATTCTAGAACCAACTGTGCCACTACCTGCCCCCGTGGTGTCAGTCCTTCCTTCGGGAGCCTCGGCTCACTCTCAAGTGGAGGGTGGCTTGGATGAGGGGTTTTATTCAGGTGTCCCCTGGAGGGCCGGGTTCTCCAGGTGCCCTCTTCTGCACTTAGGTGTCATCGTTGTAGGGCTTCAGCCTCCCCTAGTCTGCCTAAGAAATAGTTCTGCTTTTATTTATTTTAAGATTTCGTTTGAAAAGAGATCCTGTTGTTTTTAAAAAATTTGAAAGCTACTGGACTAAGTGATCTGAAGGTCCCTTTTTGTTGTATAATGTCTTGTCCGGGCCAGGAACACTCCCTTACTCTGGAGCATCTCAGCTCTTGGGAACAAGTAATGGGCCCTCTTCCCGAGCCAACTCTTTCTTGGTGGCACCACCTGCTGGCAATCCCAAGTATAACCAAGGGGGAGTTCCTAGGCTTGTGGTCATCCAACTTTTTTCACTCCCATACTCTCTTAGAGCAGAGGTTCCCAACCTTTTCAGTTCATGGCACCTTAGCTGTCTCAATAGTTTTTTTGCCTATACATACAAAAGAAATACTCACTAGTTCAATTTATTAAATTATGAAATGGCCTAAACAACTCAGAACATGTTTATATCCTAACAATTTTGTAGCTATTTGAAAAAATGTATTGAAAGAGAAAATACTTTTATTTCATTCTTAAATCACTGTACTGACTAATGGGATGTGCACCTGCTGGACAATGTACAACTCTCAAACCGGGGATGCACATTGGACACTTACACCCTCATTTTCTGTCATACATTGGTTTTCATAATTATGGTACTTGCTTTTGTCATAGCCACTGTTGAAAAACCAGCTTTGCAAGAATACGTTATCAGGATTGTAGGGTGATCTCATGTTGAAATGGTGAACTGTTTAGAGTTGGTAGCCCACACAGTATCCAGCAGGTGCTGCTGTGTTTCCTCCCTGAGCTCGCTGCAGTGGCCCAGGCGCCTCAGAGACCAGTTTGGGAACTGTGGCTTTGAAGACTTGAAAAACTGAAATCTCTTGCCTGTTTCTACATTAATGTGTACAGATTTTCTTCATATATTTCATACATTTAGATTCTTGCAAAGTGTAATTTCCAGCAAATTATAAATATTGACACTTTAAATGAAACTCTCATATAATTTTTAAATACATCCAGATGAGATCTAGAGCATAGATGTCATAGCAATTTAATACCCAAAATTATCCATTTTAAAAAATACACAGGGCATTTATTTTTTAGTAGTCATAACTCATATCATTCTTACAGTGTTCCTATTTTTCTTTTTGATCTTGTATTTCCATTCCATTTCCCTACAGTATTGTATTCTAGTGTAAATATTTTTATAGCTGAGGGCCAGCCTGTGGCCGAGTGGTTAAGTTCGCATGCTCCGCTTTGGTGGCCCAGGGTTTCGCCGGTCCTCATCCTGGGTGCGGACATGGCACCGCTCATCAAGCCATGCTGAGGCGGCGTCCCACATGCCACAACTAGAAGGACCCACAACTAAAAACTATACAACTACGTACCGGGTGGCTTTGGGGAGAAAAAGGAAAAAATTAAAATCTTAAAAAAAAAAATTTTTATAGTTGAAAGTCTTTTTATGGATCATTCTGTCATACTTCTCTGCAACAAAAATTTGTACTTTTTTTCCTGTGGCCAGAAGGGCTATATGTGTTAACCCATAAGAAAATTATCTTTATAACTATTAGTTCACTGTTGCGTCAAACAGCATAAATACATTAAAATGTTGATACAAAATTATTTTATATAAAGTAAATTTTATTGGAAATGCTTCTATGAAATTGATAAGTTTTATTTAGTTTAGACTTTTCTAATTAGGTCATGTAGCCATCAGTGAATATGTTTACAGCTATGACAAGGTGGGGTTTAATATCAGTTCGACTGCTACTTTTTGTTTTCATGCTGAGAAACCTTGTTTACATAAGTAAGTAAATGGGAATGGAGTTTTGTTAAAATAGGAATTCTTTGAATTCCTTCTGAATTACATGCCAAGAACCAGGGTGATCTATTATCAAAACTGATTTTTTTATGTGTTAATTGACAATTCGCTGAGTCCTCCAGCTTTGGTGGAAGGAAGAATTGGTAACATTTGACTTATAAAAAGATTTGTAACTCAGCCATCAGTGCCTCATGTTGAGTTTTGGGATGTGTGCAAAGTAAATTGAGAGGAGTCGTTGTGAGAGAGGACTTTAGCCTGGATCCTTAGTGATCGTGACGTCTCCTTCAGGCAGGTCAGTTTTAGGAAAGAGTTTATGAGGAGGTTGAGGTTCTGAACGCCATTCTTCTAAATGTCTCCATGCTTGCTCAGCCTTTTGAAGGACTAAGGAGCAGGAGTAACCCAACAAAAGACTACTGCTCTAGGATACCCAACGTGGTTGCTCTAAAGGGTTTCATTTGAGGCCTTTTTTTTCTTTTTTTTTTTTGCTAAGGGAGCTTCGCCCTAAGCTAACTTCCATGCCACTCTTCCTCTATTTTGTCTGTGGGTTGTGGGTTGCCACCATAGCATGGCTACCAATGAGTGGTGGTCTACCCCTGGGAACCGAGCCCAGGCCGCCAAAGTGGAGCGTGTCGAACTTAACTGCCAGGCCATGGGGCCGGCCCTTGAGGCCTTTTTTAGTGACTGCTTTCACAAGAATGGCTAATATTTTTAGTGGTTATTGGCATGGGAAATAAACTAAGACTTACTTTAAATATGGAAAGAGGGGAAGATGCTGTACCTTGTATTATATAGACCTTTATAGTTTTTAGAATACATTTAAATACATTATCTCATTTGATCTGTAGAACCCTGTGTAGTAGGGTAGATGAATATTATCTCTAAAGTGAAATAAGGATGGGTTCAAAAGGTTTTTATGCATGTCCTAACTCACCGAGCTTTGGGTGGTGAACTGGCGCTGGAATCTAGATCTTCTGATTCCTTACTTGGGCTTCTTTGCCCAAGAAGATACTTTAACTCAGTAGTTCCCAGCATTGTTTTTTCTATCACTATGGACCATAAACTCTGTCTTACTACTCTTTCCTCCTACAGATGCATGAAATCTTAATGACGTTATCAGTAGCTAATTCGACCTTGGTAATTATAACCAGAAGCAAGAAATAAATATTAACAAATTCTTAGCTTGTGCAGTTTTATTAGAGTGAGGGAACAATTTCCATTAGGAATTTTGTAGTAAAAAATACTGGTAACAGCCCGTATTTATTGTGCTCTTATTTGTGAACCAGACACGATACTAGGCCCATCCATCAGTATCTTCTTTGGAATATTCATAGCGTGAAGACCTCCATTATTCCTTTCAGGACCCCTGCAGGAGCCAGTTAAGAGAACCTGCATTAGAAGCTGGGGTTACCTCTTCAAGATACCTTGAATTTGTGTGGAGGAAACTGTTTCTGTAGTCACAGCTTTTGGAGCATTTGTGGGGCTGGGAACTTAGAGCTTTCTCTTTGATGTCGGGAGAGCACAGATCCTGGAGAAGCTAGTGCCTAACCCCTCTTGTGCTCCTTAGGATGGAGTCCACAGAGAAGTGTGAAGCCATCATCACCCACTTTAATGGAAAATATATTAAGACACCCCCTGGAGTACCAGGTGAGGCATCTGGGAATCAGGCTGAGAGGGCCACAGGTTGTTACTTCCAGTGAAGATTCTGGAGGAGTTTTGCATGAGTGTGAGTGAGCTAAGTGAGGTGGGACTCAGCTGCCTGTCTGCTTTCTCCTTGGCAGCCCCATCTGATCCCTTGCTTTGCAAATTTGCTGATGGCGGTCCAAAGAAACGACAGAACCAAGGAAAATTTGTGCAGAATGGACGAGCCTGGCCAAGGAATGGAGACATGGTAAGGGGACCTCTGAGGAGACAGGAGTACTAAGGACATTACAGTGAAGTGGAGATTACCATGGCCTGACTTCTGTGAACTTAGGCGGCAGGCTTGAGAGCTTCCGTGTGTAACTGAGAGATGCTGACTGTTTAATGTGCTCTTCACTGTGGGTCTTGGGTGGGATTTTGCAACGTGCACACACAGAAAAACTCTGGAACAGCTGTAGTGGGACTTGTCCAGACTTCACTTTAGTCAGTTGAACCAAATACATCCCCAGCTTTGGCATTCTGAGCTTGCTCCTGTTTTCATCCAAGTGCTCACAGTTTGAACACTGTGTTGTTTCTTTATAGGGTGGTATGGCCTTGACCTATGACCCCACCACAGCTCTTCAGAATGGGTAAGCATATTTTATATAATCAGGCCACCTGAAAATGACAACAGGCTGTGTCCAGGCACTCTGATGTGTCATCTTGATTTTTAAACAGTAGTTAGTAGGAAGTGGCTATGTCTGTCAGTGGGGGCTCTTACCTTGTGGTTTCCTGTGACTCCTTACTGATGAGGTTTGTTCCTCCAGCTTTTACCCAGCTCCTTATAACATCACCTCCAACAGGATGCTTGCTCAGAGTGCGCTCTCGCCATATCTTCCATCTCCTGTGTCTTCCTATCAGGTATGCTCATGCCCAAAAAAGGGCGGTAATTGGATCAGTGTTTTAGGCAAAGGAATACAAGGTTGGAAACTCCTTGTTGTTTTCGGTTTTTCCTTTATACGTATTACACACAAATAATTTTACATAAAAGCATAACATGTTACCACATTACATATATATAGACTACGGTAGTAGCACCCTCTTACTCTCTGTCCACCACTGAACATGTAAACTCATGTTAATTTCCTACTAGTTTCCATATTTTTCTTCGTGTGCATATACACATATGTATGGTGTTTTGAAAGTCATTGTTTATTTAACAAAAATTTGACCATATTAAATATATTTTTTACACTTCAGTCTTCTCACTTAAAAGTATCTTAAACCGGTGATTCTCCAAGTGTGGTCCCTGGACCAGCAGTATCAGCATCATCTGGGAAATTTTAGGAACACAAATTCTTGGACTGCGTCCCAGGTCTGCTGAGTTAGAAACTGGTCCAGCAACCTGAGGTTTAATGAGCCCTTCAGGTGATTCTGATGCAGCTAATGTTGAGATCCTTGGTTCTAATTATTTCTTTTTTTAATAGTTGCCTTATATTTCATGCTGCAGATATATCAGAATTCTCCAACTATTCTCCAGTGAAGGGCATTCACTTGGATTTCAGTTTTTTTTGGTACAGATGATGCTCCAGTAAACATCTTGTGCCTATGTCCTTACATATGAGTGCTTTTATTTCTGGGGGCTGGAGTGCAAGGAGTGGGATTGCTAGGCTGAATAATATATGGCCTTCAGTTTTATCGATGTTGCCAGATTGCTTTCCACAAAGGCTGTGTCAATTCACGTTTCCACTAGCAACGTATGAGAGTACTCATCTCCCTCCAGCCATAGATGACATTGCTCTTTTTCAATTTTTCCTATCTTGATGGATATAAAGTGCATTCTTACCTTAATTTGTACTTCCCTGACTGCAGCTGAGTTTAAGCATTTTTTTTTATGATTGTCATATTTTGATTTGAACTTTGTATGCTTGGCTGATTGTTCTGTTTGGTTATTTGTTCTTTTCCCAACTTAAAAAACTATTTGTATATTATAAGTATTACTCCTCTGAATGTTATCTTTGTTACAACTGTTTTGTTCCAAATTTAATTTTTTTCCATTGACATTGTGGTCATCAGACTAGCTGTGTGTCAGATTCACTTGGAGAGATTTTAAGCCTAGGTTACTGGCACCACAACAAGAATTTCCGATTCAGTACGTCTAGGATGGGAGGCAAGCATTTGTATTTCTAACAGGTTCCCAGATGCTGCTGCTGCTGCTACTGCTGGTCCAGGGACCATGCTTTGGGAATCACTAGTTTTTGCCATACAAAAGTTTAAAATTTATATATGGCTAAATATGTCTGCTTTTTCACTCATAGCTTTTTTTAAAGATTTTATTTTTTTCCTTTTTTTCTCCCAAAGCCCCCCGGTACATAGTTGTATATTCTTTGTTGTGGGTCCTTCTAGTTGTGGCATGTGGGACGCTGCCTCAGCGTGGTTTGATGAGCAGTGCCATGTCCGCGCCCAGGATTCGAACCAACGAAACACTGGGCCGCCTGCAGCGGAGCGCGCGAACTTAACCACTCAGCCACAGGGCCAGCCCCTCACTCATAGCTTTCGACTTTCTTAATTAAAAAGGTCTTCCTAGTCCCTTTATTGTACATATGGTCTCCAAGATTTACTTAATTATTTTACATTTAATTGTATAATCATGAGGAATTTATTTTTGTATGTGGCATAAGATAGAGGTCCTATCGTATTTTCTTTCAGAATGTTAACCAGTTGTTCTAGCACCAAATTATTAAATAATCCATTATTTTCCCATTGAATTGAAATGCCACCTTTGTTGTGTAATAAATACTGGGATTTATTTCTGTATTCTTTATTCTCTTCCAATGATCACTGGGTCTGTTCCTATTCCAATAATATATTGATTTGATCACAGTGACTTACATGATATGTTCTAATATTTGATAAGACAAAACCCTTTTCTCCTTTTTTTTCATACTTCTCTTTGCTATTTTTTGGCATGTATTCTTCTGTATAAAGTTTGTTTTAATCTAGTTTTAAAAAATATGCAAGGATTTTAATAGGAATTACGTTAAATCTATACATTAAAGAAAATTGACTTTTTAAAAAGTGCTAAGTCTTTTCACCCAAGGTATGGTATTTCTTTTCATGTTTTCACATCTTTATGTCTTTCAATAAGATTTTAGTTTTGTTTATGTAGGTCTAACACTTTTCCTGTTAAATATATTCCAAGGTTTCTGTAATTTTTATGAGCATTTCTAGATGCTTCTTAATATATGGATGGAAAGCTGTTGACTTGTGTTCATCTCTCTTGGATGCAGCTAAGTCACCAAATCCTCTTAGTACTACTAGTGTTTTTTTACTTGAGTCTCTTAGCCTTTTTAGGTATTCAGTTATACCATCAGTGCAAAATAATAGTTTTCTCATCCTTTCCAATTTTATGCCAAGTGTGTTCTTATCTAGTTGTATTTGACCCCACTGTAAGATAGGTTACTATAATTGCAGCGGTTTTACTATTTCTCTGTTTAGGTTAATGTTAGTGGCTAGTTTTTGGTAATAGCCTTTAATATATGTAAGTAGTTTCTTTCTAGTCTCTATTTTACTTTGTGATTTTTTTTTTAAATAAATGGCTGCTGAATTTTCTCAGCTGTTTTTTCAGCAGCTAATGTTGCACTATGGCTTTTTCCTTCAGTTTGACTTGCGTTTATAGGGTTAATAATCTTGAACAATCCTTACATTCATGGAATACACCCTACTTGTTGTGATTCATTTCTCTAGCTTCTCATTGCTAATTTTTTTTTCATTTTAAAATTGAGATATAATTCACATACCATAAAATTCTCATTTTTCTAAAGTGTACAAGTCAGTAGTCTTTAGTATATTGACAGTTATGCGACTATTACCATTGTCTAATTCCAGAACATTTCATCACCTCAGAAAGAAACTCTGTACCCATTAGTAGTCATTCCCCATTCTTCCTTACCCTTAGCCCCTGGCAGCCACTAATACACTTTCTATGTCTATAGATTTGCCTATTCTGGACGATTTCATATAAATGGAAGCATACGATATATGTCTTTTGTGTCTGGATTCTTTCACTTAGCATGTTTTCAGGGTTTATTCATGTTGTAGCATGGATCGGTACTTTATTCTTTTTTATGATTGAATTATATTCCCTTGTATGGCTAGACCACATTTTGTTGTCCATTTATCAGTTGATGGCCATTTGAGTTGTTTCCACCTTTTGGCTATGGTGGATAATACTGCCGTGAACATTTGTGTACAGTTTTTGTGTGGACGTGTTTTCATTTCTCTTCGGTATATACCTAGAAGTGGAATTGTTGAGTTACACACGAACTAACTCTGTGTTTAACTTTTTGAGGACCTGCTGTGCCATTTTACACCCCCACCCACAGTGTGTGACACTTGTCGCTCTATCCATTTTACACCCCCACCCACAGTGTGTGACACTTGTCGCTCTATCCATTTTACACCCCCACCCACAGTGTGTGACACTTGTTGCTCTATCCATTTTACACCCCCACCCACAGTGTGTGACACTTGTCGCTCTATCCATTTTACACCCCCACCCACAGTGTGTGACACTTGTCGCTCTAGCCATTTTACACCCCCACCCACAGTGTGTGACACTTGTCGCTCTATCCATTTTACACCCCCACCCACAGTGTGTGACACTTGTTGCTCTATCCATTTTACACCCCCACCCACAGTGTGTGACACTTGTCGCTCTATCCATTTTACACCCCCACCCACAGTGTGTGACACTTGTCGCTCTATCCATTTTACACCCCCACCCACAGTGTGTGACACTTGTTGCTCTATCCATTTTTTTTTTTAAGACTTTATTTTTCCTTTTTCTCCCAGAGCCCCCCGGTACATAGTTGTGTATCTTTAGCTGTGGGTCCTTCCCTTCATGGCATGTGCCATGTCTGTGCCCAGGATCCGAACTGGCGAAACCCTGGGCCACCAAAGCAGAGCACACAAACTTAACCACTTGGCTATGGGGCCGGCCCCTGCTCTGTCCTTTTAATTATAGCCATCCTAGTGGGTATGAAGTGCTATCTCGTTGTGTTTTTGATTTGCGTTTCCCTACTGACTAATGATGTTGAGACTCTTTCATGTGTTTATTGGCCATTTGTATATCTTCGTAGAGAAATGTCTGTTCAAATTCCTTGCCCATTTTTAAATTGGGTTATTTTTTGGGGTATGAGAGTTGCTAATATTTTTCAAACAGTTTATTCTTAATATTTCTATTTTCTGAGGGGGCACTTCAACTTTTTCTGAGTTTTGCTGAATATTATCAAAGCATTGGGCGAACCCATAGTTTCTAGGCAATTAACATTTTTGTTTGTGTTTGCTTGCATTAGAGAGTAACTCAGACATCTCCTCTACAAGTACCTAACCCACCTTGGATGCACCACCAGTCATACCTCATGCAGCCTTCAGTGAGTGTTCAGAAGTGGGCAAAAGCCAAAGTGGCAATTTGATGTAAAGAAAAACAATGGGATTTGATGACAGGAGATGTGGGTGTGAGTTCTGGCTCAGTCTTTTGTGTAACCCAGGCAGATGACCTTAAATTCTGAGTTTGTTATTATTATTTTTTTTAAGGTATATTTTTTGGTGAGGAAGATTGGCCCTGAGCTGACATCTGTTGCCAATCTTCCTCTTTTTTTTTTTCTCCCCAAAGCCCCAGTACATACTTGTATACCCTAGCTGTAAGTCATTCTAGTTGTAAGTCATTCTGGTTCTTCTGTGTGGGATGCCACCACAGCATGACCTAATAAGCAGTACATAGGTCCCTGCCCAGGATCCGAACTGGCAAACCCGGGCCACTGAAGTGGAGTGTGCGACCTTAACCACTTGGCCATGGGACTGGCCCTGAGTTTGTTATTGTTAGACAAAGATCCCTCCAGACTGATGGGCAGAATGCCTATTCTTGTTGTATAGTTAGGTTGCTGCTCACCTGTCATTTCCCGGGATTTTAAAATGTCTCTCATGGTAGCCATGAATCACTGCTTCAGGCAGCCTCGCAGGACGCTCACCAGCTAACCCTGTCCTTTGTTGCTCCCTCTAGGGTTCAGTTCTGACACCAGGGGTGGATCACCCCATTTCTCTCCAGCCTCCCTCCATGATGGGACCTCTTACCCAGCAATTGGGCCACCTGTCCCTCAGCAGCACAGGCACGGTAAAGCAGGATATTTCTGATTATAAACTCCTACCAAGCAAGGAATACCTTTGTAATATTCTTCAGCCGTAAATACTTATGAATGAAGATGGGAATCACTTCAGTATCGTTGAAGGCCCACTCAGAATGGGAGGTAAACCAAAAAGACAGTAATCCATGAGCCAGGAATACAGCCATTCTGCTCCGCAGCCCACTTCTTTTAACTGATTCCTCTTCGTGAAACTAAACAAACAGTGTTTCTGTCTACATATTTATGTAGGAGTTCACACATATTTCCTCGAAATCCTTATCAAAATAGTAAGAAGAAGAATGGATGGAGCTCATTAGGTTTCTTGTAGGTCTGCTGCATTCTGATGTGCACAGGCGGGCTGAAAGGTGGACCCGGCAGTGCACTGAGGAAAAGCAGGAGACAGTCGGGAAAGAGGAGGACAGGAAGGCCTGTAGGTAGAAGTCTCTCTAAGCCAGTGTACTTTAGGACCACCTGAAGTGCTTTTAAAAGGCACAATTAAATTAGGATCTCTGGGGATGGAAGACAGGCATCACTGTTTTTTAAAGCTCCCCAGGTGCCTTAAAAATAGCCAAGAACCACTGCTGTAAGCTCACTGCTGTTTTTCATGCCAGTACATGCCAACGGCTGCGGCTCTGCAAGGAGCATACATCCCCCAGTACACCCCTGTGCCTTCTTCCGGTGTTTCAGTTGAGGTAAGAGCCTTCCAATCTCTTTGGACTGAGAATAGGAAAAGGAACGGAGGCATGTTTTCCCCACTCAAGGTCTTCCTCTCACAGTGATGCTGATTCTGTGTTCACAGATGGCTGGTGGGCATGTGCAGAACATTAGGAAGGAAAGATTTAGTCTGTGTCCTTGAATGAGGCCCTTCCTCATGTTTGGGCAGATAGTAGTTATTACCGGGATGCTGGTGTGTGTTGACTCGCATGTCTTGGGAAGAGGATAGGCCGCTCTCAATATCGGGGAAGTGATGCTGTGGCGTGTGCGCACATGTGCGCGTGCGCATTCACACAGGTGTGTGGGTGGGGGGGTAGGTCAGGGAGGGCACTCAGCTCTGGGTGGGTTTTAGCAAGGCTGTTTCAGTGGGAGGTGAGGAAAGGATGCACAAGGTGACTCTCCTGCTTGGCTGTGGTGCAGGAGAGCAATGGCCAGCAAAATCAAGTGACGGTGGATGCTCCCTCAGACCATGGGGTCTATTCTTTCCAGTTCAACAAGTAACAGCGGTAAGAACCACATGCTGAAGGGTGGGGTGTGCTGAGCAGCCCGAAGTCAGACATGTTCTCCTATTTGTCATCCCCCTCCCTACCCTCTCTGGTTTATGCCTCCTTTAGGATTCTCCTCCCATCTTTGTTGAATACAAATGAATTCTTGGAGATGCTGATGCTCCCAGACTCCAGAGGGCTAACCAGGAATGCAGACCACCTGTGGGTCCTGCTAAGAACCAACACTTGGCCATCGTTTTTCACAGGCCTGGGCCTAGAGAAAGAAATCTCTGCACTCTGGCCCTCTGCCAGTCCTCCATTACTGACCGAGCTGGGGGGAACCGTCACTTCCTATGTGTGCTACCTTCAAGGATACCAAAAACACCTTTTTCCTTCTTTTGAAAAGAAAGTTTTATGTTTTGTTTTTAACCGCAATATATACGGCAAAGAGATAGGATGCCTGGAGCTTCTTCTTATCATTATGAAAAACAGTTTTTAATGTGTTGGACTTATTTGAGGAGGCTTTAAAAAAGTTGTTATTATTTCTTCTCTTAAACAAAAAAGAAAAAGAAAGGTGTGGTGCTAGAATACTTATGAAGGGGTCCTCCTGTGGGCCCTTCTTACTAATTTAGTTATGGACCTTTTTGGTGTGTGTGTAAGAAAATATGCAGACTTTTAATATTTTGTTTTATAAAGCACTTGGGTCACACATCCCGTCTCTTCTTCACACATTTTATGCCTTCTTTCTCTCATCCTCATTGTTCTTTTTCTCTTTTCCATACAGTAGAGCCTGCATACTTCGCCTTTTTACAATTTTTAATTTTGTGAAATATTTTTGGAATGAAATTTCATATGGAATTTTTCAAGACTGGGCAAGGAACAGGTAGAACATGAAGCAGGCAATGGAAGTGGCTTTTCCTCCCTCTGCCCTGCCACATCCTGGGAGAAAAGACTAGACTTTACCTTCAGAAAGCAGAGATGTGACCGAGGCTCATTAAAGAGACAATCCCACAGCCTTTGGAAGCCATCGTTGAGCCAAAATTGGATGAAGACTAGGTCTTCCCTGGCAAGTTCCAGAAGGATGGACTTACGACTTCTGACTAATTCTTCTCACTGCCGAGGCCAACGCACTCTGAGGGAGTCTTCTCCCGCTACAGCTTTTCAGGACTACTTGCTTTCCTGCCTCCTGGAAGACCTTCTTTTCTGCCCTGGGTCTCAGGCCCCTCTCTTCCTTATCTCACATCACTGTACTCAGAGCCTTTCCAGTTGTGGCCTGGTTGAACCCCCTGAGGCTCCTTCCACTGTGGAAGGCCAGCTGCTTCCCCTCTAGACAGTGGTTCTCAAGGAGGTGGTTTTGTCCCCTAGAGGCCGTTGGCAATCCCTGGAGACATTTTTGATTGTCATGCCTGGTAGTGGGGGCTGTGTGCTACTGGCATCTAGTGGCTAGAGACCAGGGATGCTGCTAAACATCCTACAGCACACAGGACAGCCCCACCTCCCCCAACAAAGAACTATCCTGTTCAAAATGTCAGTAGCACCAGGGTGGAAAAACCTTGGTGTAGACGGTGTTGCCCCTAACTCCTGTACTAGAGCACTTGGTGAGTTCCCAGCTCAACCCTGGACCGCAGTGCCTTTTGACACTCATGCAACTGGACAGGCACAGAACTGAGGTCCTTGAATTTTCCTCAGGCTTTGACCTTTGACACTTCTGCGTACATCAAGAGCTAGCTGTTCTTGAAAGGCTTGTGCTGTTGTGTGCATGCCACATGCATACACACATTCAGAGGGATTGAGGGGGCACTGTCCCCTGTGTGCAGTGCCGGGGTGGGAAAGGACAAGGCTCTCTGTAAATGTCCAGAGCAACCTGCCCTGCCTGGTATGTTTGGGCCCCTTTTCCAGGGAACCAGGACATCAAAAATATCCTTCTTGTGGAAGGACAACAGGGAGCTAGGATAGAAAAGGGCAGTAAATCCCATCTCATTATTTACAAGGTCAGGGGTCCTTTAAAGAAGTCCCCATTTTGCTGTTCACCTGCATCTCCTTCTGCAAGACCTGACTCTTTGTACATGGAGACACATAGGAGAGAGCCTTTGCCCATTTTCCAGAAAATAAGATCCTACACCTCTCTTCTCCCAAGTCACTCCCGCATGCACTGAATGGAGAGTTCTGCTCCCCTTTGCTGAAATTCACGGTCAGGTGCCTTTCCACTAGACAGTCAGACAGAAAGCCAGATGCTGGAGAATGGAGAAACAGGTGTTCATTAGGCTGGCTGTAGGGAGAGGAAGGAGATGATATTGGGGGGAAAAAAGCTGTACAGAGAGCTTGGGCCCAGCTTTCCCTCCCCTCCTACCCATCCCAGAATTGAGACTCTCAATGCTGTCTACCCCTAGACTGTCCTTTGTAATCCTAGGGGTAAGGGAGTGGGGGACAATGGGTAGCATATTAAGTGTAAAGGACAAAATTGCCACTATTAATTTTCTCATGGGTGCTTCCAACCTCAGGAAGGGCTTATCTAATTAAAACAGCTCCAAGCTCAGTAACCTTCTAGAAGGGTTTGGCTGGGTAGGTAGCTCTTATTTCTGAGTCTCCAGCCCTTAGTCAAGGAAAGTACACCATAGATTTCTTGTCAGTGGCCTTGAAGAAAAAGAGAAAAATCTAGAATCCTGTTCATTTGATTGATAGTTTGAGGAGCCTTGCACTGCTAGGAGGTTTGGTGCAGTGGGGACCTTTCACGGGTGGAAACTGTTGTTAATGTCACTGCTGCCCCTTTTCTGCCTCCCAGAACTCCTGATTCTGCTTTTTCTGTATTTAAAAAAAATGTTCAAATGGCCATGATTTTGCTTCATTTTGTTTTAAATTCTGAAGTTACCTTTTGTGTATGTTCTCCTCATGTGAATCTACCTAATGGAGTCTGTCAGTGAGTGTTTGTGGATCAAGCAGGTTTGGGCCTGGGAAGCGATGGGGAGCTAAAGCTTTCTTTGTAGTGGTTAATGGCACTGTGGAATTTCTTCTTCGTGTTTGTGGGTTATACTCTTATTTTTTCCTGAGTAGTTATTTCATTTCTAACAGTTAGTTCATAACATGGGTGAGAGATGGGAGAATGCAGAGAGAAGGAATCAGGGGTGCTTTCTCTCGTGAAATAGCCCAGTGGTGGCAGTGGTGTCACGGGAATTGTAGGACAGCCTTCAAGTTCACAGCCTCGGCCTGGGCTCTTGAACCCTCTGCCCAATGTTTTCTGAATCCTGTCTTCATGGAGCCCAGATCAGACTCTCTGTGCACTTCACATCTTACCCCTACTCATAATATTCTTCTAAAATTTTTTTTAAAGATTTTATTTTTTTCCTTTTTCTCCCCAAAGCCCCCCAGTACATAGTTGTGTATTCTTCGTTGTGGGTCCTTATAGATGCGGCATGTGGGATGCCGCCTCAGCGTGGTTTGATGAGCAGTGCCATGTCCGTGCCCAGGATTTGAACCAACAAAACACTGGGCTGCCTGCAGCGGAGCGTGCGAACTTAACCACTCGGCCACGGGGCCAGCCCCTAAAATATTTTATAGTACTTTGTGTTTTTCTGTTTTCAGTTAGATAGAACATGGCAGCATCCCCTCCTCAGATGATATAATCCTTTACTAGGCTCAGAGCCTGCCTGTGCCATCTCGTGCCAGTGTTATTACTGCTCCACTCATCTCAGATGATACTGAGACCCCAGCTGATTAGACTTTTTGGAGGAGGGTGTGACAGAGCTTAGTGAGGGAAGATGTGGGAATGATGATGGGGAGAGATGTTATTTTTAACCAAAGAATTTGAAGAGCTGCCCAGACTAGGCAGCCTTGTAGCTCTGAAGAGGTAACAGCCCTTGTCAGTAATAGGTCGGTAAAAGGACATTACTTGCACTTAGGGTGAAGACTAGACTTTGCTGCTCTACCAACCATCCCTGAGTTGGGCCACCTCAGCCCTATTCCAGTCCTCTTCCTTGCCTTAGTGATCAGTGAGCTTTCACCCCTTGGTGCCCACCATGCTCACTCCCTGCTGCTTCAGCATCACCCCTTTGGGGGCCTACATGTGGGTTGTTACTTTGCACCACAAAGGTGCTGAGAGAGGCCATGCTGGAATGGAGTGTTGCAGGGATCCCCGACAGTGGACTCCGGTCATCTGGAAATACCCACCATTGCTGCTCTCTTCTGCACTTGTCCCACCTTGTGGGAGGGCAGCAGCACTGCACTCATAAGGGGCTCCTTTGACTTTCTTAACCAAGGGCAATAAACTTGGGTTGGTGATCAGGTCTAAGGTTGTCCCTGGGCCCTGCTTAGACCAGCTTTAGAGAAGAGGGTGGGTGTTATGAAAGCAGGTCTCTAAGGACCGACCAGGTGTTACATCTTGTGCCTTGTCGCACTGATTCTTCCCGATCCCATCCTAAACCAACTACTCCATTTCTGTTTTCCCCAAATTTTAGGTCCTTCCATGCAATTAGCAGATCTCTCATATTTACTCAGCTTTCGCCCCTTTTTGTAGGAGAGTCTTCCTTCAGCAGCTGAGCAGCCTGTGAGCTCTATCACCCTTCTGATCTTTGCTGAGTTTCGCTGGACTGCCTTAGGGTGGTCCCCACAGGACTGTAGTAATGAGAAAGCTAGGCCCCCTTTTACCACTGCCCTTTCCCCTGACATACCCACTTGTGTTCTGAATAAACCTTCATTCTCCAGGCACATCCCAGAACGTCCTTGTCCTTGTTACAGATCTACCTCAATTTCACAATCCAACAAGGACACACGCACTTGGTTTACAACTTTCCTTTACTCTCTCCTTCTCTTCGCGAGGGTTAGGAAGCTGGAGGCTAGACAGGGCTTGTGATCAAATGCAAAAACTCTTGGTTACTTCTACTTCTACGATGTCGTCTTTGGGATTATTCGCTCATGAATCACCCTAGCATAGTGTGAACTCTCCAGTTAGGTCTTGCTGTGATAGGCCAGGGGGTGGGCTGTGTAATGACTGCCTAGGATATTAACTAATGCTTGGGAGCCACCCCCAGGAACACCAGCATTGGAGCAGAGCTCAGAACTTAAGAGGGTAAGAGTGGGCCGGTGGCTGCCATATAGCTGAGAAGTTAGGCATGCGCCAAAGGGAGTTTGTGATTTTCCTAGGGCTCAAAGCAGATGGTCATTCTCTACCTTATTGCAGTTAGTTTAGAGGGTTCACCAGAACCTAACTTCCAGCCTGGAGGGTGGTAAGTAAAGAAAGTCCTCGCCCCGTTGCTGGTGTCCCTATCCCCTGACACCCACCTTGTTTGGGGAGTGAGTGCTCTTGCAGGCACTTACCACCCTGGACAGGAATTACGTTTAATTTATACTCAAACACACTTTGTACATTTCCTTTATCCAGAAAAAGTTTATATTCTGTACTCTTTCCTACAGCTTGGTAGAGCTTTGTTTTGTCTTATTTCAACTTTTGTTTTGAAATAAAACCCAACAGTCTACCTCCTGGTTTCTTATCCATGGGTGGAAGCTGGGACGCCGGTGATGGGCCCATATTTGGTACTCCGACAACACAGGTGGCAGCGTAGGAAGCCAAGGCCATGTCTCACAAGGCAGGAACTGGGTACATGGAATCCCACTTAGCACCAGCACCTTGGCCAGGAGCACTAAGACCCTATTCCATCCACATGAGCAGAAATTCTGCTTTTGATGCTGCTTGCACAGGAAAGGCCACGCTTGGAGACTGAGGGATAAACCTTGGAAGTTTAGAGGCACACTGCTCCCGTGCCTGCTGTCTCCTTCACCAATCGGTCATACTCACTAACACCTTCCCCTTGCAATGCGACAACCTATGTTGAAGGGAAGAGAAATACACAGAGTCTTTTGAATCTCTATCAAATGTGGTTTTTATTCAACTGACAAGCACTTTTCTACAGCTGCACTTGTGGAACATCACATGGCAAAAACAGGAGTTTTTTTCTCTAGACTTTTTTTTTCCTTTTTTTTTAACCTTATTAAAAATGAGATTGGTCCTAAAAATATAGAAAGAAATAAATTTAAATTCACAAAAAACTGTACATTATCAAAAAGTCACTAAAACACCACATTTGGTTATATAAAAAGTCAAGTCCCTTTTGTTGTAAAAGGAACACGGAAACTTGTTGGTGTTGATGGTGTGGTTTCTTCCTGTTACCAGACTGATAGGGAGAGGGGAAATCAAGGGGCAGGGGGTGGGTTTTATTATTTTTTTTAACCTGCCTTCCCTACCAAATACTCTTTATTTGTCAAGAAGAGAAAATCCACCTAGCTCAAGGGGCAGTGAACATGAGGAAAGAAAAGTGAGAAATGGCCCCTTTAATCATGCCCTACCCCCACCCCCCGCCAGCCCCCACTCCTTCAAACTGAGGCTAGGACTCCACCCCACCTTGAGTGCCTGGTCCCTAGGGAAGAGATGGAACTGGGAGAGGAACACAAAGCAGGAACAGTTGAGATTTCACTCCCCCGTCCACCTCGCCTCCAACAATAAAATTAATCTGGTTCATTTTATGCCAGGGGAAAACTGCCATGGGGAAAAAGAAGAGCCCCCAACTCTAACAGTTCCAAACGTTTGACTAACACAAAGTTTGTTACAGCGCAGTTATTTAGATAAAATATAAATATTTATGCATAATATAAAGTCAATTCAAATATTCTTCAATCCACCTCTTATTTAAAAGCAAAAAAAAAAAATCTCAAATAAAATTAAAAGTTTTGAGGTTTATCTGACAGAAAAGGCGACTTTAGAAATAGGCTATGGGGGAGAAGGGCATAAAGGAACAAGGGGGCTGCCCCAGGACCTCCACTGCCCCCACCCCTTCAGTGGCCAGTCAGTGCTGCCGGAAGTACGAGGAATGCTCCACCTCACCTGGCAACCCCCTCCTCCTCCACCAATGGAACATTTCTTGGATGCCCCAGCTTCCGCTTGGGCCAGCCAGCAGCCACCTCCCCAGTGCAAGTACCCGTAATCTCTGATGGGAGGGGCTCTGCTGAGCAGGAAAGCAGGGGGCCAGGGGCCCATGGCTGTAGCTGGGAGTTAGCAGCTTTCCTCTCACATGTTGGGGCTTAACTTGGGCATAGTCACAGAGAGGGCAGAGGAGGACACAGAACCCCTCCTCCCTACTCTTGTGCTCCGGGGTCTCTGCTGCCGGGGAAGGGGTCCTGGGGTATGACGAAGATAAGGGAAGGAAAGCACAACTAAACCCACAGAAGCTCATGGGATTAGGAAAAGATCCAGTTCTACCCCTCTCCCTGCAAAAGCTTAGACTCAAAGCCACTGAAAGGAGAGGGAGTTCCTGCTGAAAAGATTGCACAGTTTGAAGAGGCTGGAACAGAAATGACTGGGAGAGAGAGGAGAGAGACAGCCTTGTACCCAGAAAAACTGTTCCTGTGGTTTCCCAAAGACAAATGATGGTTTGGAACAACAGGAAAGGTAGGAATAAAAACAGACACTTGGCGAAACTGAATGGATGCCATCAAACACAGGGGCACAATCACAGCATCCTCTCTCTCTCACACACACACACACAGACATACACACACACACCTCTCTCTCTCTCTCTCTGAGGCCAGTCAATTGCTACCTGGCCTCTATCTTGGGGTGTGCCCAAGCTCAGCAGTAGTTGTCCCTGAGGAGTTCCCAAGAGGGAGGTTTGGGTAAGAGGTGGGGAAGGAGGCGGGAAGGCCCAGGGTGCCTCCCTGCACTCTCCCCAGCTACTGAGTTTCAGAAAAGGCTAGAAACTCAGCATGTGAGGAGTATCCAACACTATAGAGGGGATAGCTATTGGCAGGAAGATGAGGACAGAGAGAAAGACAGGGACCTCTGAACTTTT